CTCTGTCTCTCTGTCTCTCTGTCTCTCTCTCTCTCTCTCTCTCTCTCTCTCTCTGTGTGTGTGTGTGTGTGTGTGTGTGTGTGTGTGTGTGTGTGTGTGTAAGAACACTTGAGTGTGAGTGCCTACAAAAAGCAGAGGCATCAGGTCCTGGGGAGCTGAAGTTCAGGTGCTCCTGAGCCTCTTGCCATGGTGCTGGGAACCAATCTCAGGACCTCTGCAAGTGTAATGTGTTCTCTAGGCCATCTTTCTGGCCCCCATGAGCTTCATTCTTCATTCTTTTGCTTTTGGCTACCCAGTTGCCCCAACTTCAGGAGTTTCAACGGTTAGCTGCCAGGCAAGTGGTTTTTTATGTTTATTTTTTGTTGTTTTGTTTTGTTTGGGGAAAATCACCTGTACTCCTGAAGGAGAAGCTACTGTATCTTTAAATAACTCTTCAAAGTTGCTTTTTGTTTCAGAGAAGAGAAACTTTCAAGAAACTGCTAAAATTGCCAAGTCATTCTGCCCCTCTCATTTTAGATGACCTGAAGTAAAATTTGCTACCATTGCTCTAAGGTCTCTATCCTGGGGGTTTCCATTTTTTCTTTTTATTAACAAGTGATGTATGAAAAGATATGTCCTCAAACTGAGCACGTTCAGGACTCTGCCCATCTCCGCACAAGTTGATGGGTTTCCCAAATAAAATCCTGGTGCTTTCTGTGTCCAGGGAGATGCTGCTTTGGGAATTACAAAGTCTCCTTGCTGCTTCTAAACGTTTCTTCACCCTTACTTCCTGTTTATATTGTCAGTTTTGTTCTCAGCCCTGGGTGAGCCCATTTCATTGTGTTACAAAGGACTGTTGCTCCGTCTATTGAATGGTTTTGAATTCTTGTGGAAAACTAGCTGCCCATCTCTCTGTGGTCTACTATGGGCTCTTCACTGGGCTGCACTGATCTATATTTCCCCTCTGCCATCAACAACATGCTCTCTAGATTACCCTTGTCCTGTAGTAAATTCTAAAACCAGGAAATGTGAGCTTGCTTACTTTGTTCCCTTTTCCAGATCATTTTGCCATTTTAGGACCTTTATACTTTCATATGAATTTAGAATCAGCTTGTGAATGTCTACTAAAAAGATAGCTGGGAATTTCACCATGTCTGTATATGGAATTTAATAAATATTTCCATTTTACTACCTGCTAAATTTTCTAATCTGTAAACCAGAAGTTTTTCATTTGTATATGATTATTAAGTCCTTTAAATTTCTTTGAACAATGTTTTAAAGTCTCAATATGCATTCACTGTGTTTCTCATTGCTGTGATCATGTTCCTGACAGGAAAGTAACTGAAGGGGAATGGGTATATTCTTCTCATGGTTGAAGGGATGCAAGTCCTTTGTGAATGGGAGGTGGCATGGAGGTGGGAGCTTTTCTCTGCTATGGCGGCAGGAGCGTGAGACTGCTAGCTCATATCTTGGTGGATCGGGAAGCAGAGGCAGGACAGGAGACAGGGCAAGCTGCGAACCTTCACCCAGTGACTGACTTGTAGCTAGTCACATCTCCAAGGTTCCACAACCTCTCAAGACAAGCACCGCCAGCCAGGGACCCATTGTCCACAGATGTGAGCCCATGAGAACTGCTTCACATTAGAAATAGAACAAAACCTATAACATTTTATTTCTTTTGTTAAATTCGTTCCTAAGGATTTTTTTTGTTGTGGTGGTCTGATCATAAGTGATATGTTTGAAGATGTTATTTTTAGGTTATTAGAAGTGTATAGCTATTGCTCTGATTTTGTGATTTGATCTTGTAGAGTACAGCCTTGCTGAACTTGTTGAAGAGTCCATTTGAAAATGCTTGTGAAGATTCATCTCGGTGTTCTGCAATTTAGCACTTTAGGTTTTGCACATGCTAGAAGGTAAGGGTCCAGATTCCTTTTCTTGTCTGTGGCAGCCCGGTTGCTCTGTCTCCGCAAGTTGAAAAGACTATTTATTGACTTAGTTAACTTTAGTGGGTTCCTTAGTGGTTTCTGTCATTTATAAGTATGGATACATTGATTCTCTCTTTATTCCGAATTCTTTTTGTAACATCTTTTAGTCCAACTGCCCAGCTAGAGCCCCTAAGTCAATACTGACAGGAAGTGATGAAAGCAGACACCCTTTTTGACTTGAAAGGAAAACTATCTAGACTTGAGGACATGCCCCCTCTGCTCCTAATTTTCTGAAAAATTTTAGCATGGATGGATATTTGACTGAACAGATGATTTTTTTTCACCTTTAATTTGTTTATGGCTAAAACATAATCCCAAGTGAAGGGCACATATGCTTTGCCCAGATTTACTAGATGGTAATGGCAAGCACATACTTACATTCCTTTAGCAGATGCATTCATTCAAGATAAATTCCAGTGAGCAAGAAAAATGTGCATGTATTTTGACATCTATCACTAAGTAACCATCATAGGGTTATACCAACATACTTTCCCACCAAAAATGAAGAATATTCTTGTCTCTGGATAGAGTTGCTAGCATTTTTTAAACATTGAAATCTGTCTAATCTGACTCAGTTAAAAGTGGTGTTTGGGTATGGTAAATCTGACCTCTTATTGTGAGTGACAATAACGATCTATCTATATGATTAGGACCATTGTATGTTTGCTGTTCCGTTTGTTTTTGCTGTGTGTACGATTTTCTTCTTAAATTTTAGGAGGTTGGTTTTTATATATCAGTTTTGGAGGTGCATTGTTTCTTTTTTTTATTTCTGATGTGTGTAAAAGCTAATATATATATATATATATATATATATATATATATATATTTAATGATCACTTTTTCATTGATAATTCTGATAGGATTTTAAAGAATGTGACTTATAAGACACTTCAAAAAACACTGTGGTTTTTGGTTTTATCAATTCCTTTGATAAATCTGCTGTGGAAAGATGTGCCCAACTGTTGAATTTGACAGATAAACTGTGCCAGTTCATGCTAATCCTTCTCACAGAATGTCCCATGGAACAGGAATGTTTCTTCTTTCATGGTTGTGAGAAAAGATTCCATCTAAACTCTCACATCATTTTCTCAAGTATGGAGGGAATGTCAAGGGCAAAGGAGCCCTTCGGTCTCATCTGGTCTGTATATTGTACAATGCACCCTTGGACTTGCAATCACTTTGAGATAATTGGTTCCACATCACAGGTAAAATGTTCTGCATCATTGGTGTGTTAGTCATCCTGAAGACCTCTGAGGGCTTCATTCTAATTCCCTAGACCTTTTGGATGACACAGTGCTGAGTGTACAGTGTCATGTAAAGACTTCGGAGAGCCTTCACTGACCCGTAGCATTTCTGTCCTCAGTGTGTGACTGACACAACCTCACGTGATGCTGGCATGCACAGAGGTTAAAAATATCTTTTTAAAAATAAATATTAAGCTATTGAAATAATACAGCATAAATACCTTTCTTCCTTCTTTCTAACTTCTGTTTTCCATTGTTTTATCTTTTTTTAACCCCAGTTCAACACTCCCACTTAATCCAAATGGCTTTTCTGAGGGGAGGCACAATATCTCAGTTCCTGTTTTTCTTTCCTTCCTTTTTTTTAGAACATATAGGAGAAATGCTTCCTAGTGCTAATAATATTCATGGTTGTTACCGTCTTAAGAAATTCACTCTAATGAATCAAGCAATGTATTTTTAGAACATCTTATGTGTCTTGTTCCCAGGAAGAATGAGTATGCAGGTCAGTTTCAATTGCTCCCATGATATGTAGAACATAGTGACATGAAAGTTTCATTTCTGTATGTTAGTCAGAGTTCAAAAGGTACTTATCATGGTAATCATTATTCTTTTGTTTATCGGTTCATTGAACAGATAGTAGTGAAAATGCGAATGCATTTGTTTTTACACTCTTTGAGACTATTTAAGATGTTCTCTCTCTCTCTCTCTCTCTCTCTCTCTCTCTCTCTCTCTCTCTCTCTCTCTGTGTGTGTGTGTGTGTGTGTGTGTGTGTGTGTGTGTGTGCACGCACATGTGCATACCATGGCACACTTGTGGAGGTCAGAGGACAACATGTGGAAGTCAGTTATCTCCTGCTACCATGAGGGTCCTAGGATTGGCAGCAAGTGCCTTTACCCTCGAGTCATCTTGTTAGCCCAAGTCTCTTTTTAAAAAAGAAGCAGCTTTTTCTGTAGCTTCCAGGGATCTGAACTAGGTCTCCACAGTTGTGCAGCAAGAACTCTTAACCACTGACTCATGTCTCTAACCTCAATGTTTACCGTTTAATAAAGCAGGTGATGGTGAAAGCATCAGTTCAATCAAGGTGATAAACATATCCACAACTCTGGAGTCTTTTGTAATTCCTTCCTCTGTTTTTTTTTTCCCATTTAGTCCTCAGGCAGTAGCTAATCTGCTTCCTGTCTCTGTGGGTGACTTGCAGTTACTCGGATTCTCACCCATGGGGTGGCACAGTGGGTACTCTCAGTTTGGTTTCTGTTATACAGTGTGACTGTTTGGAGGTTTGTCAGTGCTGTTGAGCGTCATCAATAATTCATTCCTTCGTATTGCAAAGTCGTACAGATCAACGTGTTTACACCCTCACTTGCTGAGCAATAGGAGGTTGTGTCTGGTTTACAGCTGTTACAGCTGTAGATGCTATGAACATTCACACACAGTTGTGTGGACATATGCTCTCATGTCTCTTCACTAATGTTCAATACATGGGAATGGGGCACTCTGTGGTTTGTAGGTGTCCTTTTGAACTGTTTGGGTGTTATTTCACATCCTCATCTCCAGAAGGTGAGCATTTCAGTTACTCAGCATTATCATTAAGCTATTCAGTGATCTATGTATCTCCTTTGGGCGTCATTAAAAACATGTTAACATGATGGACACGATTCGATTAGACATATTGTGTTGCAATTATTTTCTATTTGTCTCATCTGCAAATTGTTTCCCTTTCCTGTTTTCTGCTTTTTTGAACTATGTACATTTCATTTCTTCATTTTATCTTTCATAACATTATTTATTCACTTTTTAAACCATTTTTCACATAAACTTTTATCACAGTCTTTGCTCTAAGGTGTTAGACACTTTCTCCTACTCCATAAGACCCTGTCAGTCATGGTGGGCTTCCAATGATCTCCTCTTCTCCTCTGGTTCCTTGTTGGCATCTATTACCCCACCCCACCCCATTACCATTTCCTGCACAACACCTGGTAAATCTTCAAAGTATAAAACTTAGTAACTCACAACCTTACCTTCAAGGACTAGTGTATTTGAGACATTAACAACTGTGTACCGTCTGTCGGAATCATGTAGCAGAAAACAGTAATTTCAGTGAGCCGAAAATGCCCCTGAGCATTTGGGATGACTATCTTATTGTAAGCAGAGGCTCCCGAGTTCCCCACCCAGCCTCCAGGCCATCAGCCAACTTTTCACTTCAGCCTCCTCTTGTATTCTTCACTTTGCACCTGTGGTTCTTTTCAGCGACCTTGCCTTTCTACCAGCTTTAATGTCACTTTTCCTGGAAAAGCATTTTAGCAAAGCTATTTCAAGTGTCAGATACTTCAACTATTTAAATTTGGGTTTCAATTAAATAGTTAAACATGAGAAAGATAATTATGCTTTTCTAACATCCTTGTGGCTAGTCAAAATGCCAGCCTAATAAGTAAAAGGGTCTTTTGTCATAGGAATATATTTTTATGCAATTTTGAAAATAGTATAGTTAATATTTCAAACAATCAGAATTTGAAGAGGTACAAATGTTTGAATATCGTCTGAAGTATAAACAGACTTTCCATAGCTGTGTGACAGAGACCACTCTACAGAAGCTACGTGACTCAAATGACAGCCGGAAAGCCTCCATGTGGCTCTGTGAGAAGACATTCCATCCTCATGATCCCATCAGCCAGGGCCATGTTTGTAGCCATCACAGTCCAGGAACAACAAGGTGGTTTCTTTGCACAGTGATTGACTCACATGCTGACTTCAGCTACTACCCTAGGCTTGCCTGTGTTCAAGTCCACACCTACAAGTTGACCTGACTCCTCATATTTTGTTTGAGATTTGATAACTGTTTCAAGAAGTCAGTGTTAATAGGAACCTTGGGAACAATAAATAATGTGCCAGCAAATTCTCAGAGTTGAAAAATGACTCAGATGAAAAGAAATGTCCCTTCTACTGAGATGACATTTACTTAGGGCGTCCTCCATGTCCATTGCCATTCTGCTGCTCCAGCAATGAACAGCATGGCCATCTAGAAGCACAAAGCCAGCATCAATGTCAATAGTGTTTCTCTTTGTAATTAAAAAAGTGTGTGTGTGTGTTCATGTTCTAACTGTGTGTTACTGCCTATGAGTTACTGCTGCTGTATGCATATGGAAGTATGCAGGGGATGACTCTGGGTGTCAGTCTTCACCTTCATCCTCCAGGCTAGCTGGCCTGAGAGCCCCTAGACATTCTCCAGTCTCCACTTCTCATGTTCCTGTGAGAGTGCTGGGATTGGGTATCCAAGCAGGCATGCACCAGAGGGGCTTTATCTATTGACCCATCACACCAGCCCTCATGGAGAGCATTTCTACCAGCCTTCAAGCTGTCAGTTACAGTATCCTTTCTGCATGTCTGGGTACCCCCTCCCCCCTTTTTGGCCAGTTGACCCACAACCTGACAATGTGGATTGTTAAGTTCCTCAATAGAGGTGGACATCCCTTTTATCAATATATATTCAGACAAATCCTGCATTTTCCACATGGCGAGGATTCAGGTCATGCAGGAAGCTTCTCAAAACAAACGGGAAGCAGACTTTCCATATTTTCTGAAGGGCATCAGTTTCTTTTCATCCTGAGTCATTTTTCAACTCTAGCACTGTTTATTCGATCTTCCACGATCATTCTTTCAGCTCTTGATGGTTTCCCTCCCTCTCCC